AAATCTATGTTACCTCCTCTGCTTATTTAAGAAAAAAAAATGGTTGCTCACAACAAGTAGATTGTGACAGTCGTCCTGAATGGGGCCTTGTTTGGGACGCTCAGTCTGCAGAACTGTTTACTTGGCGGCGGTGTGACTGAGGACTGCCTGGGTGCTCGCACAGATGATCAGTGCAACGGCCAGCGGATAACCAGCTAAAGACAGGAACCAGGACCCTTCAAACCTACATCGAACTTAGGCAACAAAGGGACAATCGTAGGTGTAATTGCTCACCACAAAGTAACAGAAACTAAATAAGATAGCAAAGGCACCATCCTTGATAAAGCAGGCCTTCAGGCAGCTAAAAAAAGGTACTAAGCTTGGAATTTTTGTTTGATTTCTTACGATACGATACGAACAGATTTGCAGAACACCTGGAACCTCTTTTGGCAGCAGTGAGACATCGCATGCTAACTTTCTGGGCCCGATTTCGTGACATGCACCGTGTTATGATCTAAATAGCTAACTGTATATTTTCTGAGAAATGAACCCACGCCAATAGTCTGACAAAAATGCATACAAACCATTAGACCACTAAAGTTTATAAGATGTACAATAGTAATGTCTGGACAACCGATAGGCTGACAACGTCATCCACGCACTTAGTAGCGCCAACAGCGCATCTAAGTAAATATATTTTTCTAGATCTTTTCGACAAATATCCGGCTGTTTTCGTAAACCGCACACAACCGCCTGAAAAGAAGTATCTATTTTCGGATGCCTGTTGGAGGACTGTTATCTTCTGGAGACAGTTAATAATGTAAATAAATCATTATCGCGCTATCGGGGGGAGAAGGAATCATAAGAGAAACTAGCAAAATATGTTTTGTTTGTCTACCTATTTGTTAATGGTTACCCGAGCGGAAAGTTGCGTCATTCTCGGTCTAGTGGTGTTGCGGCTATTTTGTTTTTCTGTGGCTCCAGTAGTCAGGGGTAAATAATATCTGGTCATATGTGCAACGAAGCAAACAGATACCAGACAGCTATGCCTGATGATATCAGCACAAAGCTGGCAATGTAATCTGAAAGCAGCTGTACGCAAACAGGTACAAGGCAGCCGGAAGTTTACTGGAAGTAAACAATCAAACAACAATAAACACACAGCTGAAAGTTGAAAGCATGAAGAATATCGATGCGACTCTGTGCCGCAGAAAACCGGTTCAAAAACGAAGTGCTCAAAAAACAGCAAATGCCAACAGATTGTGAATGAAAATAATAATGGCATTTATGGGTGACTGAGGAAATAATGAATGCATTAATACACAGAAACAGCTCAAATACTCCACAAAATAGCCGCTAGCAGACAAAGAAATGCCATATGCGTGCAGCAGTTGAAGATAACAGGGTCAGATACAATCTATGGCAAACTAGAATTAACACAAGCGACGTGCAGAAATACATACGAAAAGTTACAAACAAGAAACAGTTTATAACAGGAAAAAGTATCACGGTGATCTGGCCGGCCCCTTTGTTAACCCGCCAATATGTAATGCAATCATGGCGAATATACTATTAAATACCAATAGGAAATTACGGATACGGGGGTTATAGACAGTAGATAGGTTTAGGTTTAAACAACTGACCAACATCACGGTGCAAAGGTAATAACCTATAAGAGCTCCGTTCTACTTCTAACTCAAGTCTGAGTCTGAATAATCTCAGCATAGTGCACAAACTCCACAGCACCGGCAAGGATCATGAACATACTTTGAGTAGATTACTTTTTTTAACTCCAAATTTTTTCAGGACAGCGCCGTTAGGCAACTCTTTTTGATTTCCAGCTGCCAAGAGATTTTTTTTTTTTACGTGCGCAACAATACATACGGGCTTTCCATCTTACTACCCAGAGACCAGGGGGAATGACTAGAAGTCCACGTGAGAAAATCTCAGACTTCACCGGGGCCTGAACCCGGGACTTCCAGCACTCGAGGCTGATGCTATGCCCCGAGACCACTCAGCCGCCCAGCCGCCCCCCCCCCCCCATAGACAGTGAAGTCAGGGGCAACATTTCTGAGTAATTGGAAGATGAAGTATCCGCAGAAATGGATCGTGTCGAACAGTGAAAGTCAATAATTTCCAAGAAATTAGATGCGATGAATTGGGAGACAATTATTTAGAACGAAGAACATCGCATGCCATCCGAGATCAACTGACACGACCTACTTTTCTAAACCTCGTGTGACCGATCTATTCAATTAACCCATTCTGCCATTATTCTTTCTTTAACCTATCATACCCCGTAGTGCAGTTAATAGACCTCCCACCCCAAAACTGTTAAGCTAAAGCAACATCTACTAAATATCGGAAGGGTTAAAAGCTAAAGACACCTATGTCTGCCACTGAAGAATTCATGTTGTGGTAAAACGTCCGATATTTGAAGCACAACTTCCACATCCGCTGAACCAAGCAAATGAACACACTGTTGTGTCTGCCTGTTATCAACCTCGCGTACATTCGTTAACTTCCGTTTTCTACATAGAACTTTCATAATCCCACAGCCACACATTCTGACACAGAATCACAAATAAGCAGGCTAGTCAACAGGCGCCGTGAGAGGACAAGCCTAGGTTTTAGGGCAGATCTGAACGTTTATATCCGACTGAAACATTTCTGACATGGTTTCCGTCAATACCAGTCACATTCGCGAACTGGCCATGCTGAAACAACCAAACCAATTAGGAACACTTTTTCCCGCCTTTTATACAAATACGTAGAAAACATTTCAGAACTCGTAAGGTGATCACACTACAAGATCTATACGAATAATTTGTGCTGCCGCAGCTAGTTAGTAATGTACTACATTAACCCTTTCAGCATTTATTACTTCAACCCTTTCTGTTGCACCAGTTGTTAGTAAGATGGACTCTGCCCAAACAAACACGCACCTTTTCTGTTTAAGTACTGCGGAGAATCGCACAGTCAAAACCTTACCATCAGCAACATCATATAGTCCCCTACAACTGACCATCTCCACCTACAACTGACCATCTCCACCTACAACTGACCATCTCCACCTACAACTGGTCATCTTCACCTACAACTGACCATTTCTACCTACAACTGACCATCTCAACCTACAACTGACCATCTACACCAACAACTGACCATCTCTACCAACAACTGACCATCCCCACCTACAACTGACCATCTCCACCTACAACTGGTCATCTCCACCTACAACTGACCATTTCCAACTACAACTGACCATCTCAACCTACAAATGACCATCTCCACAAACAACTGACCATCCCCACCTACAAATGACCATCTCCACCAACAACTGACCATCCCCACCTACAACTGACCATCTCCACCTACAACTGACCATCTCCACCTACAACTGACCATCTCCACCTAGAACTGACCATCTCCACCTACAACTGACCATCTCTCCTCTATAATTGTTGTTTTGTTAGTTTCCTGTTGTTGCGAAATCATTAGGATGAGGTCAGGTGTAGTACATCGACAACCATCGTTTGCCCCCCCCCCCCCACCCCCTCACAAGAACGAGTGTTGAAGGTATAGAGCAAGCTGGGAAAAGTAGTCGGCAGGTAATCTTGTCTACAAGTCATGGAAGTATTCAACACTGGTGCTGACAAGCTGACGGATGATAATGATTTTACTCGACTCCGGTTACAACTTCAACTATTCGGAAACCCGTGTTTTACCAACTCTCAACCACCACGGAGTCTACCATTTCCTCAGATCTCTTGTTGTTTCCCAACTCCCAGGGTGGGTTTCGGGGCCTAATATTGAGAGAGAGAGAGAGAGAGCAAAAAGACCCCCACTCCCTCTCCTCGCAACATTAGAAAAACCACGGCCGACTCTATTTATAGGCAAACTAGGTCAACGGGGATTCCCGTTCTTGTGCAAGTCGAGGGGCCGCTCTGTGTTCACAGTTTTTACACAAGAGATGTATACACAAATTAAACTACAGTTTCATTAATTTGCAACACATTTTATCGAATTATATGTCATTTTGAAGGCAAATAAGTGTGCTATTACAATATAACAATAAAGGCTCTTACAGACAAACAAAAATGCTTTTGCTGCAGTCAACTTGCTGCAGTCAACATCAACACAAACACATCAATAACCTGTATAAATCGAAAAATAAATAAAATGGAAGTTATTCCAGCAAAAGTAAAGAAATATTAGTGCTAACTCTTTTTATTTTGAGAGGATATTGCATTAGAGGTTCTGTGAAAAAAAAAAGGGGGGGGGGGGCGGTGATTTGTACTTTATCAAATTTAGCACATGAAAATACTTCTGTGAAACATACACACATCATACATAACATGAATATAGATTATTGATGCTTATTATTATTATTTGCAGACTACTACAACATATAATTATACTGTTAGTTAATAATTAGTAAACAAGCAGCTCACTTGCTTAAAAGTTTAGTAAATTATAAACAGTTCCATGCATAACTCAAGTTCCAGAACAGACAAAAGTCCAGAAGTGAATGAACAACTAGAATTGTCTACCGCAGTTTACAGCCAGCGAACATTTAAAGCAGTGGTTCTCAACCTTTCTAATGCTGTGACCCTTTAGTACAGCCCCTCATGATTTAGCGACCCCCAACCATAAACTGCTTCTGCTGCTACTTCATAACTTCAGTGAATGTGTGTTTTCTGATGGTCTTGGACGACGCCTGTGAACGACCCACAAAAAGATCACCACCCACAGGTTGAGAACCACTTATATGGAGGAAGAAGACAGTTTTTAACATTTATAGTGCAATGTAGAGATGTGAGGGTGCAGATATGATTCCAGTGGACATATTGAGACTGCAGTCTGTGTCCATTTTTCCTCACGGGACAGTGATTAACATTCTGTGTGTTTTCCGCTGGCACAGGAGGGGAGGAAATATCGGGTGACCCGTTTGCTATGAGGCTTAAACTAAGATTACCAGATTACTATAACAGCACATAAAGGAGACACTGTGTACTCACCTATAATAGCAGACACCAGCTAACATCAGACCCAGGAAACCAGTAGACACGGCCACGGCAATAATAACTGGTAGAAGAACATAGAGGCAACTCATACAGAATCTAACTGTTTGTGTCACTGAACCATTAAATACATTTTTTAACCTCTATCACTGTCCTTCAGACACCTTAGTGCAAATCAATATCCATCTCATTCTTAGCAAACTATCTCATTCCATTCCCTCAAATATCTCATTCCAGGCCACAACTAATTCCAGTCTATTGAATATCTCATCCGAATCCTTCAACTATCTCATGCCCACCCTTCAACTATCCCATTCCGACTCTTCAACTATCCCATTCCCATTCTTTAACTATTCCATTCTAGCCCTTCTACTAACTTATTCCAGACCACCGCATCCACCAACACTCCATCCATCACGATTTTATCTAATGTGTCACTTCCTATCAAATCCCCAAAGAAAAGTGCTCGTTTCTTAAAGCAGTGCCTAATCGCATGAACCCTTCGTCAAGGCATCTGCTACAGCTGTTCACATTCCCAGATTCAGTTGCACACAGTCGAACAAGAGATGGATGGAGGGAATAAAAGAGAGACTACAAAAACACAATATGACTCTACAGTGACTTTCAGTGTGTGGAGACACCACACAGACAACATACACACGACAGACAGGTTAAGCTTTTACACAAAGCAGATAATGTGTCAAGACTGTAAATTAGACATTGAGGGCTTTCAATCAGCAGTGTGAAGGCTTATCAACAACACACCTGACGCTGAAGCACAAGCAGAGTTGTTTCTGTTTTCATTGCTTAGCAAATACATACCGTAATATTATTTGCAAAGGCTGTGATTAGCAATCTAAATATTAATTGTTCTTTAAATTAATACTGGTTAATTATAACAGAGTATTACGGTACATGTTCTGAACTCTGGGCAGTAGGCTGACAGCTAAAATAATGCTATAATAACTATTATTATTATTTTAATAGAGAAAATAAAAATCTTTGCGTTCACCAGCTGCAAACTCTTGTAGAAAGTTCTGATTGTTCGTCCACTCCTGGGCTTTAATCATGTTCCAGACCTTGAGTTTTTGTATGCACATCCATTCTACAGATCCTGCATATTTGCATGCAGACCGTTGGTTCCTGGCCCCTCAGACAAGTGCACTCTGACTTTGAAGTAAACATCTCTAATGTGTCGCCTGCTACGACATGCTTGTTTTATAAAGGGGTGGGGCAGCGGATCTATCTCTTGTTCTCCAAAATGCAGCACACTACAGGGAAAAACAAATGATTGCTTTTTTGTGTTTGTTTAATAAACATAAAATAACACCAGCAAGAGAGGGCAAAAGGAAACACAGCAAAGCCGGAGAACTGGGGAGCACAGAAAAGAATGTAACAGGCAGACGTTATCACTTCTTTGCCAGGTGTTAGGCTACTGCCCAAGGTTTGAAAAAATAGAATGAAAAATAAACAAGTATTAGCAACCTTGACATTCGATTTCTAGAACAATCACTTGTTCATTAGCAAAGAAATATTTTGCAAATGAATAACCGGCTATCTTCTGAATAACGGTCCCAAATTATCGAGGCCGAAAATATACCCTAACAGGGCCTCTTCCGGGGACTATACCGCTGTCGCAGAATTGCAAAAGATGGAGAGAGAGAGAGAGAGAGAGAGAGAGAGAGAGAGAGAGAGAAAGAGAGAGAGAGAGAGAGAGCCTTGAAACGCTTTGCTGAAGTTCTGGAACACTTGTAGAAGGCCAGCTGTCCATTAAATTAGTATACTTAGGTGTAGAGAGATCCGATGCAATCGAGACATAATTAGAAAATACCATGTAGAGAAACTAAACAGTGAACAAGTTTGAGCATACAGAAATTTCCAGCAGCTGTTTAGTGAGTGGAAAACACATTCCACACATGCCAGCGACTCAGTATAAATAGTGGGTAAGAAATTACTTAAGCATTCTTCAGTCTACGAGACTTAAAGGAAGGGGAACTAGCAATATGGACCCTCACAGACGAGAACCCTCAGTCATCAAGACTTAGAAGCAGAGGAACCAGTCACATGGAACTTCAAAGACAGACACAAGAGAGGTGACGTGAAACGTGACATCAAACTACAGAGACAGCAGACAAGATACATGGACCCATGGCGAACAGAGACACATTTAGTAGAAACGTTACCAAGATGTTAGAGTCGACAATCAAACCTTTAGTACCAGACATAACTAGAAGCCTGTCCGCAGTTACAGACACTAGAACCAGTTAACAGAGTAATCAGAGATGAAGAGCACAACACGACATCAAGAGTACGTAACCACTGATCAAAAACAGCGGCCATTTAGAATATCACTGATGTTTTTTTTTGTGTGATATTACTAAAGCACTACAATAAAGACAGTATAGAAAAGACGAGTTGTTTCTAAACATTTTATTATAGAAGCATTAGTGACGCGAGAAGCATGCAGCAAGCATGAAAGACCATCGTCATTACCCCTATCGAAACGACCATCTTTCTCCTCGTCTATATTCTTCAACTGACTCCTCCAGGTAGCAAACCAAAGGCAAACCTGGGTGTGACATCAACATATAAAAGCAGAGAGCTGTGCTACAAGAACTCTTTGAGCAAAATCAAATACAGCAGCATGAAACCAAATAAGCATAAAGGGGCAGGACAGTGTTCAGAAGCAAACAGAAGCATGAGAAGACCAAATCACAGTACAGGAAAAATGAGAAGAAAAAAGGCTTCAAAAGAATAACACTAAGAATTAAGACAAAGCTGCTGGAAAAGGAGGAGACCATATTGGCTGTATTCTTATCTTCTGTAGTGTATCCCTTTGTGGGCCGGGGTCGTTGGCCTGTGATCAATAAAGCTTTGAATGACTGGCTTCTATGACCTGGAAGCTAAGGGATTTTTTTTTTCAATTCTAACTTTATTATGACCTGAACCCCAGACCTTTAGATCCGCAGGCCAGCATCTTTCTGCTACACCATATGGCTCCCAATTAATACATAATTATATTTTAAAAAAAACTGAATGACTTACTTATAAATATAGTGTCCTCTGTGTCAATGAGGCCAGATTGTCTCCTGCTGTCAACATGTTCCTGTTGCTCCAATGGAGCCACATGTCCTGGTACAGCTGGGGGCAGAGTGCTCTTGTTTGAGGAGGATTCATTCTCTGACCCATCCCTGGGACCTTCAGGGGCTACCCCATCTTTCTTCTCCCCCTGGGGAATTTGGTTGGAGACTCCACTGCTTTTGTCTGCATCCTCCACTACTGCCCTGTTTAGAGTGTCATCTTCTGTTTTGGAGGGAATCAATTTAATAAACATAACAAACAGCATCTCGGGTATTAATGAGCACTTATTTAAAACAAGAAGCAGAAGAAGATATTCAAAGATACAAACTGTACAAGAGAAATGTATAAAACACCAAACTTCACACTCCTGTAGCTAGAGGTAATTTGTGTATGCATGTACACAGTGACATTTGATGACAGATTTGACACACAGAAAGATCCAAGAACCAACATATTTAAAAAAACAACAAAAATGCTTGTCGTATGCTCTACATGACAATGTAAAACCAAACCCAGCATCTTTTGACTGTTTGTCATTCCACTGGGCAGCTTGACGTTCAGTAGTTTGCTATTGCTTTTCTGATCGCTCTACTCTCGACACTACTGTCAAAACCACCAGCAGGTGGTCTGCTGCCAAATCGCCTGCAGCTGGGATCAAACATGGCACCTCAGAGATATAAAGCGCATCAGCAATGCCTAAGCCAACAATGTCGACAATCAACAAATACAACGACTCTAACAAGAAAATATACACACATCTTCTAATGGGATTGTTGTGTGTGGTATGTTCTATATTCATATGGAAACATGGAGAGAAGGATTGAGAGATGGGAGTAATATGGAGAGAATGTTGAGGGAGATGTAGTAAGTGAGAAACTGATAGGGTGGCTTGAAGTCAGTTGATTGTAGGATATGGAGATAAAGAGCAGAAGAAGGCTAATTCTTTTTATATATATATATATCTTTTTAAAATCCACGCCATGTGGTGTTGGTAGTCATGTCTATCCACAATCTTCTGTCTCGTGTACTTTCAATCAACTCTGACACAGATGATCCCCCATGCCATAATGTCAAACTGTCCAGCATCTGTTCTCTTGGTCTCCCTCTGCCTCTCCTCCCCTCCATTCCTACTCTCACGATGTACCCCAGTTTTCTCCTTCTCATCACATGACCAAAGAATGAAGATTGTCCCTTTCTGATGTGGGAAGTCAGTTCTCTTCGTGAGCCAGTTTCTTTCACATCTTCATTACTCTTTTTATCTGTCCAGGGTATTCTCATCATTTGTCTATAAAAGTATATATATATATATATATATATACCATTCAAAAAAAGTAACGCGTAGCTACTGAAATGAATATGCACAGTCAATTTTTTTCTGTGTAATTTAATGAGCAATACTGTTCAAACTGCATTTAAGCATACAATAGAGATTAAACAATGAATTGACAGTTCGTGCGCTTCTGGGTCATTAATAGTTTTTTAGATGTAGGGGTTTTCCCAACAGTATGGTGTGTAGCCTCCTCTGGCACTGATCAGCGACTGGCATTTCTTGGATGCAATCAGACATCTGATGTGGGCCTGTAGGATGGCTGCACTAAAAATTATCACTAAAGATGCCAAAATGTCTGCTTGAAAATGAACATAATTTTTTGGGAGTAGCATTATCCTTTTATAGGGTTTCAGTTGGGCAGTCAGAAATAGTGTTCACCACAAACTGCCTGGCTTTATCAGATGTGCATCGTGAGTTATGCTAAAAAATATGGTCAGAAACACAACTGACCACTGTACTGTAATGATTACACAAACTCACCAATTCGCACTAATATGTCCATTTGGCCCTGTAAACAACTTTTCAGTCTGCTTTTTACATATGAATTTTTACTTACAAACTAATAAAATGTGCCACTAGATAACTATGCATTTCTTTCTTTCTTTCCCTTTTTTATCATTTTTTATTCTTTTTAAACAGTATAGTTAGTTTCCCGTGTGGGTTCCGGGGCCCTATTATAGAGGGGGGGGGGGAGAATAGACTCACTGCCTATCCAAAAGTATGTCGTAAGAATTGACTAACTGGTTGGTAGCTTCCTTCGAAGTCGGAGTGCATCTGCCTGAGAGGCAAAGAACCAGCAGTCTGCACACAAATGAATCAGATCTGTAAAATGAATGCACACGAAACACTCATGTTCTGGAACAGGACTGCAGTCCACAAGTGGATGAACAACCAGAACTTTCCGCCAGAGTTTGCAGCTGGTGAATGCGAAGAAGTATAGATAGTTGAATATCCTTTAGAGAATTCGGCAAACTAACCACACAATTCGTTGGCTATTTTTAGGTTTGTAATAGGTTATTTAACCTCGCGAGTTTTCCTATCCTTTTCTGAACAGGATACTTTCCTTACCATATTTGAAATCAATGCAAAGCGATTCAGGTGTGTGTGTGTGTGGGGTGTGTGTGTGTATATATTAACTATATTGATAAAAGTCCTGTCTCCGAAACCTGAACACATTCTCTGTAGTATACCTCGGCACCTGAGAAAAACAATGGAGGAGGAAAAAGTTCTGGAAGTCGAGGCAGAGGTCAACCAACACACAGGTTGCGGCCAAAGAATAAAAACAATTCCCTGGACCCTGGAAACAAAAATGCATGAGGCAAAGGAACTTCACAACAGGCAAAGAATCTTTCCTTCCAGCTGTAAGGAAAATAACATTGTAAAAATGATCTTTTGTGTGATAACACAGGTGAACATCGGCAGGCTGGTGGCAATGTTGTCATTCTCTACTGTATCCTAAACCTTCGGGTAATCCTGCTCTCACCTGTTTCTACATCACTGCTTCCCTTCTGTGCGATCCGTTGCTGTTCTTCTATCTTTTCGACAATTTTATCTATCAGCTCCTGTTCAGTCAACTGTGAAATTTTGGCAGAATCTAAAAACAAAGAAAGAGATTTCTTGTCAAATTATGAAGCAGCCAAAAGAACTCACAGTCTGGCTTACAGCAGATGGGTATACAGATAGGTAAGCAGATAGGTAGGTAAGCAGATAGGTAAGCAATAAGGTAGCTAAGTAGGTAGACGGGTATGCACGCAAGTATAAAAGAAGTAGGTCAGTCAGTAGGTAGAAAAACAGGTGTCAGTAGGTAGATACACAGGTCAGCTAGTAGTGTAGGTAGGTGAGTAAGTCAGTCAGTAGGTAGGTGAGTGTCAGTCAGTCAGTAGGTAGGTGAGTAGGTCAGTCAGTAGGTAGGTGAGTAAGTCAGTCAGTAGGTAGGTGAGTAGGTCAGTCAGTAGGTAGGTGAGTAGGTCAGTCAGTAGGTAGATGAGTAGGTCAGTCAGTAGGTAGGTGAGTAAGTCAGTCAGTAGGTAGGTGAGTAGGTCAGTCAGTAGGTAGGTGAGTAGGTCAGTCAGTAGGTAGGTGAGTAGGTCAGTCAGTAGGTAGGTGAGTAGGTCAGTCAGTAGGTAGGTGAGTAAGTCAGTCAGTAGGTAGGAGTAGAGTCAGTAGGTAGATGAGTAGGTCAGTCAGTAGGTAGGTGAGTAGGTCAGTCAGTAGAGAGGTGAGTAGGTCAGTCAGTAGGTAGATGAGTAGGTCAGTCAGTAGGTAGATGAGTAGGTCAGTCAGTAGGTAGGTGAGTAAGTCAGTCAGTAGGTAGGTGAGTAGGTCAGTCAGTAGGTAGGTGAGTAGGTCAGTCAGTAGGTAGGTGAGTAGGTCAGTCAGTAGGTAGATGAGTAGGTCAGTCAGTAGGTAGGTGAGTAGGTCAGTCAGTAGGTAGGTGAGTAGGTCAGTCAGTAGGTAGATGAGTAGGTCAGTCAGTAGGTAGGTGAGTAGGTCAGTCAGTAGGTAGGTGAGTAGGTCAGTCAGTAGGTAGGTGAGTAGGTCAGTCAGTAGGTAGGTGAGTAGGTCAGTCAGTAGGTCAGGTGGTAGTGAGTAGTCAGTCAGTAGGTAGGTGAGTAGGTCAGTCAGTAGGTAGGTGAGTAGGTCAGTCAGTAGGTAGATGAGTAGGTCAGTCAGTAGGTAGATGAGTAGGTCAGTCAGTAGGTAGGTGAGTAGGTCAGTCAGTAGGTAGATGAGTAGGTCAGTCAGTAGGTAGATGAGTAGGTCAGTCAGTAGATAGGTGAGTAGGTCAGTCAGTAGGTAGGTGAGTAGGTAAGTCAGTAGGTAGGTGAGTAGGTCAGTCAGTAGGTAGGTGAGTAGGTCAGTCAGTAGGTAGATTAGTAGGTCAGTCAGTAGGTAGATGAGTAGGTCAGTCAGTAGGTAGGTGAGTAGGTCAGTCAGTAGGTAGGTGAGTAGGTCAGTCAGTAGGTAGGTGAGTAGGTCAGTCAGTAGGTAGGTGAGTAGGTCAGTCAGTAGGTAGGTGAGTAGGTCAGTCAGTAGGTAGGTGAGTAGGTCAGTCAGTAGGTAGATGAGTAGGTCAGTCAGTAGGTAGGTGAGTAGGTCAGTCAGTAGGTAGGTGAGTAGGTCAGTCAGTAGGTAGGTGAGTAGGTCAGTCAGTAGGTAGGTGAGTAGGTCAGTCAGTAGGTAGGTGAGTAGGTCAGTCAGTAGGTAGGTGAGTAGGTCAGTCAGTAGTCAGGCAAGCATGCAGGCAGGACAGTATGTCAGTCAGCAGGCAGGCAGACAAACAGGTAGTTAGGTCAATCAGTAAGTGTGCAGTAGGAACACAGCGGAAAACATACAAACAGTATGTGACACTCAGAACAAAGAAAAAAAATTTAGTGCTTAAAGCAAAACATAGATCATGGGAAGAATTTAGAGAAAAGTTGAAAAAGAATGCAAGAGAAAATGAAAAACTGTTCTACAAGACCCTTAAGAACACGAGGAAGGAGAAAGATTGCCCGTTGAAATTCATAATAGACAAAGAAAGGGTTCTGCTTATTAGCACAAATGATATCACGGGCAGACGGAAAGAATACTTCTCAGAGCTTCTCTGTGTTGAGGAAAGTCATGTCACAGAAATAATGGACCTCACTACAGAGGTCCATGGGAATTATAGCATCAAGATGAAGGAACTGTTTGGAAGATTAAACTGGGGAAAGCAGCAAGACATGGTGGTATAACACCAGAGATGGTCAAATATATGGCAGTCGCCGGTAAGTGACTTCTCCAGAAGGTCCTCCAGGCAGTCTGGTATAGTAAAACTATACCAAAAGAGTGGAATAATGCCATCATTATACCTATATTAAAAAAGAGTGATAACCGACAATGTGAAAACCACAGAGGCATATCTCTCATCAGCATTCCAGGTAAAAGTTACTCTAGAATTCTCCAGCAGAGACTTAGAAGTCTGGCAGAACCACAGCTGGATCGGGCTCAATGTGGCTTCAGAGCAAACCGAACTACGCAAGACCATATATTCACACTTAGATGGATGAAAACGTTCTTGAATATAAGATTGAGATGCACCTATCTTTTTCGGTGGGGACTCTAGGAAAGGTATTTGATAAGGTTCCCTGGAGCAAGCTCTGGGACTGCTTGGCAGGGAAAAACATTCCAGCACCTCTGATCAGTGCAATGCAAGAGTTTCTATAAAAGCTGCAGAAATTATGTAAGAACGGCCAATGAAAATTCAAAAAGAATCTAAGACCACTAGCGGTGTTAGACAAGTTGATATTCTTATTATGTATGATGTAATCAAGGCCTGCCAGGAGAAGAAAAAGAAGTAGACAGTAGGGTACTGGAAGATGAGACCAATATGTATATCAGGGTTGGAATTTGCAGACGATGTGGCCCTGATAGCTAAATCAGAGGACACACCTTCAGTCCAACTTACTTGTCTGGAAGAAAGAGCTTGAGGAGAGAGGGATGACCATCAGGATCTCCAAAAGTTAAAAACATGTTGATCTCAACGAAGGAGAAGAAACAGTATGCATTGGAGCAGGTTAACCAGTTTAAATACCCTGGAGTTGTAACAGATCGAAATGGAGGCATTAGGACGCTCTGGCTACTCGAAAAGCAGCTGCTGGGAGACTTTTTCAGACCATAAACCGAGGGTTTCTTAGCAACAGAGAAATTGGCAATAGGAAAAAAATGGCTGTTTACTTCTCTACTTATGTACCAGTCCTGACCTTTGGGTGTGAGTCATGGGCAATGACAACAGCTCACAGAAACCAGCTTCAGGCCTCAAAAATGAGATATCTGAGAAAGGTGGTCCAAGTGACAAGAAGGGGCAAAGTTCACAATCTGACAATACGTTAGGTTCTTCAAACACAGGCCTTACAAACTCGAGTGGATCAGACCCAGGTACGATGGTTTCGAAATGTATGCAGAATAAGAGAAAATCGGTCACCATGGTAATGCCAACCATGGTGACCGATTTTCTCCCATTCTGGAGGCCAAAAACCAGGGAACCAGACCTCCAGGGCGACCCAGGATCCGTTGTGAAGACAATACCCGACAGTCCCTAACTGACAGAGGAATGGAATGGAACAAAGCCAGAAAGAAAACTGCTGATAGAGATGTCTGGAGATCTCTCTGGCCACGGCCAGCTCCAGATTTATACTGAAGCTGGCCGTGCTCTGGCAAACCTCTACACCCCAAGATAGTAGAGCAGCGACTAAGTGAAGAAGTAAGTGAAGTCAGCGAAGTAGGTAGGAAGGTAAGCAGTTCAATCAGTAGGCAAGCCAGCGCGTAGGCACATGATCAGCACAGTCAGTAGGCAGACAGGCATGTAAAAGATTTGTACGGGCTTTGAAGGAATGTGATCTCATGACAACAGAACCAGCAGGCAAGCATACTGGTCTCTGAGCTACTGCAGCTTCTTTGACTGTTTTGTTAGTATCACAGTATGTCTCCATATCATCATGATCATTGTATGGCATCTAGATAACAGTTCCCACATCATTCAGCTATCAATGCACCTTCCTCTTGCCCTCTTTCCGTCAAGCCCACCTTGCCAATTCAAGTAACAGTAAACAGATCTGGTTACGCCAGTGGCGTATCGGACCAATGGTTTCTAGATTCGCGTGTTTGTAGACACATCACCACTAGGTAGGTGATGTGATCGACATCACAGTGGTCGCTTTTATTTCCCAAGACATTACCTTCTATCACTTGTAGAAATTGGTTCCACCAGGGAGTCACAGTCAAATCTGAAATAATCGATGCGGGTTCAAAGTCAAGACAATCAGCTCAGCAGGCTAGCCCTCAGCCACTAGGCCACCGCGGATCCCATGGGTTAAGTTTATTTCTCTACATCAGTAGACCGCCGTGGTGGTGTAGCGGTTTGACGCTCGTCTGCGGATCTAAAGGTAGTGGGTTCGGATCCTGGTGCAGCATTCTTCAATAATGACTTTAGGTCGACCTAACCTTAAATGGGTACCAGGTAAAGTTATGGGAAATAAAGGCGGTCGTGTGATGTTGACGAAACCATCCACCGAGTGCCCTATATGCCCAATTCGCCTAAAGGCGTGGAAGGGGGGTCCTTTACTTACATAAGTCTTCTAAAGTACTGGAGAATTCTGAGAAATAACATTCTCGTTTCAAGACTTCGTGAAGTGAAAAACCCCAGCTGCGCCTCCATGCGGTAGAGGATGGTAAAAACACTGTGGTGTGGCCAACGCAGCTATGGGGACTGAGTATCCACCGGGTTAAGTGAAAACCCCTGGGCTGCTTTCTGATGTTAGTAGGAGTATCGCAGAGCAGGGCACTCACTTGCCCTGACAATCTAAAAGGCTGACAAAGGCTGCAACGTATGATGATGATGACATAAACATAAATATAAGATGTCTATTATGTCTAAATAATTTATCGTTTTTATCTGCGTCTTGAAATATTAAATCATTTCTGTGTATAGTAACCCTAGATTGGCAACGACGCAAATGGATTTCACTTTAAACTGCGTGAACAACATTAAAGTGGGACAGCTATACATACAGTGGAGACTAAGTAATCATATACGCACTTACATACAGCGGAGACTAAGTAATCATATACGCA